AAAGAAGACCACTACGGTTGACTACTGCAAGTGATAGTAGAAGGTGAATTTACTACATTCTACAATGAGAAGTGACACCAGATTTCACACATTCAACAGAAATGTAATTATAGTTACAGCTTCGTAGATACGAGGTTGCAGACTAGAATACAATATACATTTTAGCACATACGTCTAGTTTGATGATAAATGGTCAACTTTGGCGGCAAAAAGGCCCTCAACCGTGTCGTGCCGCGACCAAGTTATATAAGAAGAAGAAGCACATACACGCGTCCACGTACTCTTGGCGAGTATCCGGTTATTCGGCTTTTGCGCACAACGGCAACACGACGAGTATCATCTGGTGGTGTAGGGAGGTATGCTCTTATACTCTACGAAATGTAGTAAGCTAACATAATGGAGTTTCACGTTAACTGGTGTAAAACTCCGTGAAAAACTTGCGATATTCACACTACGCAGTAGTCGTGAAATATCACTAGGGTGGTGAAACTCCAATGTATAATAGTCAATTTATACAAAGAAGAAGTGGAGGAGTTTATGGTTGATTTGATGGGAGGTGTCTCGAAAGTGATCATGTGGAAAGATTCATTTTGGCGGTAGTGATGGTTGATTTTTTTGCTGTCCAATCGCACTGATTTCAGTGCATTTTCAGTTAAACTGAAAATCGGTGAGTTTTTTCGGAAATTTTTTTCAATTTTTTGGAGGTTTATACGACGTACTGATTTTCTGGGGGGTGAATTTTCCGAGAAATGAGTAAATTTACGATTTTTTTTGTCTGTCGATTCTGCAGGTTCTCCGATTTTGATAAATTGTGTATTTTTTCGTGATAGTCTCTGATGTGGCTTTTCTGAGTTCGGAATTTTCCGGAAAATAATTTTTTCAGCTGAAATTTTATAGGACCATTTGTTGGTGTTTTTTTCGGGAAATTTGTTGACCAATTTTTCTGCCCATTTTCTGATCATTTTTCAGCCTTAATAAAGGAGTGGTGGATAGTGCGTTACTGTGATAGAGAGCTAACAGGTAAGCTGACAGTTCTATAGAGATCTATCTAGAGCTCACCATGAAAATTTCATGACGCGCGATAAGTATTGGTCGCGCGCAGTAGAAGGGAAAATGTTAAGTGGGGAGAGCACACAGTCCCTACAACCACTGAGTTTGGGTGAACGCCGCAAAAAGCTACAAACAGCGACCGTCTGACGAACTCGGCGGTGAGTGAGGAGGGGAATGAAGTTCGCGGCTGCAAGGTGAAGGGAATTTGAAGGCACATAAGCGAGAGCCACAGGGCATTGCTATGACGAAACAATCAATGTATTGCGCTATATTACATTACATATGATCATTAAAGTGATGACGGTTGTTGTACATAATACATTTAGTAAAGTAACATGTAACGAGTACAGAAATTGGCCGGTGTGTGAAGCCCATCCTGCTGGTCGCCGCGAAGGATCATTCGCAGTGCATGAAACCAAGAAACTGTCATTGCGGCGGCACTCAGAAGTAGCCTTGTCGTCTGCTGCTGCTCTAGTGTTATCCATATACGGACCTAGCGTGTATCTTGAAAGGGAATCAGGAGAGTAGATTTTCTGCTCTTGGTGGGGACGAAGCTCAGTTGAGGTTGTTGAGGAAGTTCAACGATGACGGGAGCTGTGTAGTGATGCAAAGTTGGAGGGCTGTTAAAAAAACGGAGGAAATTTAATCGCGGAAATGTGTCGGTAAGAAAACATGATAGTAAAATTGTAACAGAAATGGGAGGAAAAAAACAAGAAATCAGGAAATGATGACATCGTTATTATCAATCGGAAAACATCACCTGAATGCCGAAGAGGGAGAGGGGAAGATATGGAGGATGCTGACATCTTGAGGAGATCCAGAAAAAGAGAATTGAAATTGAAATGAATTTCATCAGAACGGCCAGAAGAGAATTTTTGGTTGTCGCATCTCATCTCGTTGCGGCAAATAATATGAATTGAAATGCAAGATTTCCTTTTCCGCGAATCTTCCGCACGGCGAAGATTTTCATTATTCATTTTATGATATTAGTTGTTCGTCAGGCACTGTGTTCGTGTTGGCTTTACTACGATTGATGGAAGTTTACTGTTGGGAACTGATGCGAATGGAATAGCATTTGATGCGGGGTTGGGGTATGACAAAGTGCAAGGACATCTGAAGCACGTGGGAGGAAGGCAGTTTTCAAGTAGGATGCGATAGAATCTAGTGACTGGATTTAGAATTGTTTTTTTACGTCGCAAAGAATTTTGTACTGTTTTAATTTTTATTTTTTGTCATTTTACGGTTGTGAAGTGCTCTGGAGGAGAATTTCTTACTTGGAAATTAGGATTTTTTTTCTGGGCGGAAAATTTCATGTGGGATGATTTTATTTTTTTTTCAGATGGTCCGTGCGTATGGAAGGAGATGAAAATGACATATTTGGACAAGGCTGATTTCGGTAAATATTCTCGGGAAATTTCCGTAAATTTTTCACTTTTTTTCCAGGTCTTGACGACGTTGTGACCGTCGTTTTAAATTTGAGTGAAAATGTTGAGGATCGCCATTCGAACTCAATCGCTCTTTTTAAAAACGGCCTGCGTGTTACCGAACCAATTCCAATTCCGGATGATTTGAAGGGGAAGGATTTATACCCAACAGTGACCTTCAAAAACGTCAGAATCGCTGTGAATCTCGGACACGAAATGGACGGGAGAAGAGCGGCTGAGCTTGCGGGGTTAACTCAGAGGTTACCTTTTACGTGTCGGTCGCTGCAAAGGAGTGCGGCTGAGGATATTTCAATTTCGCCGTATTTTTCGAAGCAGTTGAAGGAGCCGGAAGTGATCATGATGGTTGGATTGCCGGATCAAGGAGTGTTTGATTTTGTGGACTATTTTATGCGGTTACATCCGTATCAGTATACGGAGATATCCGATAGGACGATGTTTGAATGGTAATGAAAATGGGAAAATTTTGGGAAAATTTTGGGGAAATTTATTTTCCAGAAATGAATCTAGAATAAAAAATGCGAGGAATTGGAGGTAATTTTATGGCGGATTTTCATATTTTTTTAGGTTGAAATCTTCTTCGCTCCGTCCACTTCGTCGTGGTGGAGAACCCTCTAACGATCGGCCCGACTACCTCTTTGGAATTCAACCAGTCGATGAGGGCATAATCAGATCACGTATAAGAGACTTGGCGAGTTCGCCGCAGGATGGGAGGTCTATTGTAATGACCGGGATTCGAACCTGTGCGGGATTTGTGCATGCGGGTTTTGGGTAGATATTGGTCGAGATTGAAGGCGGATTACTGAAGGAGGAGAGAGGGAAAATAATGTCCAAATTTATGACGCATAAACGTAATATTTCACGGGAAAATTTCAAGGAAAATTGCAATTTTTTATGGAATTTTTGGATTTTCGTAGGTGTCGCGCGAATTTGCGTGGGCGAGCCTGATGATGGATATCAAAATTATGTGAGAGATTTGGTGCGGGGAGAAATCGAATCGGCGAAATCGGCAGAAAGGGAGAGGAAACTCGAGGAACTGAGGAGAGAGTGGAAGACCCGAGTGGTGGAGAAGGAGAGGCAGCGAAGAGGTAATGAAAAATATCGGCGCTGAGAATTGAACCCGCGTGGTCGTATTTGAGTTGTTCTGGATTGCCGAAGGTCTCAATTGATTTTGTAGAATTTTTCGTGGGGAAGGTGGAAGCTTTTGCCGAGGATCGAACCTGAGTTGGCTTGTGTTTAGTCAAAGCCGCTGCCCGCGCGGCTGAGAGGGCACGCAAAGAAGCGGCGGCGGAAGCTCGGCGTAAAAGGAAGGAGGCGGCAATGAGAGCTGCCGCGGCGAAGAGGGCGGCAGAGGCTCGGAAGGGCGATGAGCCTTCAGCAGAAGATGGAAGTGAAACTAAGTTGGCTGATGACGTTGCTATGGAAATGCAGGAAGGAGAGGTACGTAGGTGGGGGGTCTTTTATGGGGAGAATATGTGAGGTTGTTTAGGGCGATGTTAGTGAAGAGGAGCATTTAGTTGAAGTCGAAGAGGAGGAGGAAGAAGGAGATGAGCCGGAGCCGACTCTGCCAGAGGTGGAAGTCACTGAGGATGACTTGAAAAAGGCTATGTAATATAGGGAAAAAATGGGGAATTTTTTTTTCTGAAAAATTTAGTATTTTTGTTCAGGACGGGAGGGTATTTTCGGCGACAAAGATTGCATGACATAAGTTCGGAAAAGGTGTCAGAGGCGTATCTTCGATTTACTCTACCGCACGCGGAAGAATCTTTTGAGGATGGACAAAAGGTGTTCGATGAAGTGGTGTATGAATGGGAGAAAAAAGAAGCGGCGGAAAGGTGGAGAAAAATTTGGGATTTTTTTCTGGGAAATTTTTCAGCGTTTTTTAGTAAACTGGATGGTTGGATACGCCACCGTAAAGTGTTGGAAAAAGTTCCGACGATTATGGGACCGAGCGAGTGGTTTAAAGTCCAACTGGATGCATGGTCGGAGACTAAGCTGGAATGGAGGAAAAAACACAGGTAGTGGGAAATTTGGTCCGGTTTTGGGACGTTTTTACGCAGAGGTGGTTGCTGGTTTTAGGACGTACCTTCAAGCGGTGGCGATGAGGGAAGCGGCGGCGGCGAAGAAGACGGAAGCGGAAGAGGTTAGTAAGGAGGATGTGAAAGCTGAGGAGTCGAAGGAGGCCAATGATGGTGGTAATACCGGGGACTACCCTGGGATGGATTAGGATTTTGTGGCGCGCGAAATGTTTGGATTTTTTCCATCTGAAGATACTCCGGTGGTTGGATCGCCTCTCCCTGAGGCGCCGTCACAGACCACTTATATCGATCCTGATGCTGCTGACATTTGGGCGGTCGAAGATATCAACGATTTGGATGGGAAAGGGACTCCATTATATGGGAAATTCCAGGCTGAGGATTGGCAGTTGTTGAATCTCCGTTATGAACTGCATTTACTTTGCCATGCATTTTTCCGCGATGCCACTGCTGAGGATGGTGATATCAAGGGAATTCACCGCAGTTTACTGCAACATTATTTTTCGACGTATTTCGTTGGGCATCCTCCTCTGATCGCGTCCTTGTATGGGGGCAAGAGTGTGGATGAGCTTCTGGACACTTTTGTGGTGGACACCATTACGGTGGGAAGCGATGGAGTGTTGAAGACGGTTCATGACATTGACACGCCACAGTCGACGTTTGTGAGGTTGGTGGAGTCGGCGAGGAGGGAGAGGCAGAAGAGAATCGAAGCGGGAGATGAGAGTGCGAGAATTAGGATTGTCCAACCTGTCACTGCGCCACGAAATTCGGGTGGAAGGGGTCCGACGGTGAGGGATAATAGGAATAGTGGTAGTAGAGGAGGAAAGGGCGGGGTGTCTCATCCGGGGAAGTATTATGGTCATCATCATCAACAGCAACAGCAGCATCCTCACAATAGATGTAATAAAGGGTGTAATTGATTTTTTCGTGGAGTAAACAAACGGATTGAAAAAATTTTATCGAAAAAACTACGGAGAAAATATATTTTTTTTGTAAATTGTCAAATTTTTTAAAAATGGTTATTGTCGATTCTGTATCAGATGCCGCAAATTTTAAAAGATGTAAAATTGGGAAATTTTACCAAAAACAATGGTTAGAAATAGATCTTTTTTGTGAATTTTTGGCGAAAGTTTAGAGTAATTTTTAGTAGTGAAAAATGAGCATCGATCTCGGGGGAAATCCACAACATCATTTCTCTGAGTTATGATGATTGGTAGACGTTGAAATTTGAGTTTGCCGTTGTTGTTGTTGTAACAGACGCGCGAGTATCCCAGCCGTCATCGCCTGGCTCAAGAGGAGGGCATAAGGGTGGGAGGTTGCCCCCAGGGGTCTATCAATATCAGCACTCAGCACCAGCAGGAGGGCAGCAGTAGTACTCTATTGGGGAGGAGGAGGAGGTAGTGGGTTTGATGTGTAGATATGGAGGGAGATATCTTGGCGTTGGTCCCGTGTCACCGTCGGGTTACTATGGAGGGCAACAACAACAACAGCAACAATATAATTCTGGGTGAGAGGTCGCGGGTTCGATCCGGGCACTTGGCATTTTTTCGAGGCAGGTATAAACGTGGATATGAATCTGCGGGGATGTACGATTATGAGGCTGGGAAACGCCAGAAGGGTGAGAAGCAGTTTCTTTTTTCGGAAAAAAAATAATTTTTGGTTTTTTTCAGGAGGCGGACCGCCCCCGGGTCAGTATTACCAGGCACCCCATGGATACGGTGGACAGTATTATCGTCAGTGAGACTTATGTTGATTCCTAGTAGAGAAGAAGTAGAGAAATTATGGTATCAAATCTTGACCGGTTTTGTTGGTTTTGCAATGTGGAGGGTTCGGGGTGTTGTATTTTTGGGTGTGCTTGGGCCACCCTAGAGCAGTTGATGGTTTTAGTGTCTTGGGGATGATTTTGTTCGGGTTTTGTTATCGTTGATGTTGAGATGTTTTGGTTTGTCCGACATGGTTGTTTTCGAATACGATTGGCGTCGACTAAACTGGCAACGAGCAATTCTGTGAGAGTTGGCATGAGGCTGGACTCGCGCGATGAGTTGTGGCGGCTGATCGAACATAATACGACGTTGTTCAATCCGTAGGGATGGGGGGTGTTGGTTAGTGCGTATGTGGTTTTAGGTATAAGCTACCCCATGTGCTGGCCGCACTGCGAAGATTTTACGCACCTGGTGATGGTCAATGGGAATCGGAGGAATTGAAATTGTGAGAAATTGTTGGGATATGTGATTGTTATTATATCGTCTGTGAGCTGTATTAAGTGTTTCCTTTTTAAGATAGTATCCTTTTTGAAACTAAGGAAGGGCGTTGTCGAGGTTTGTCGGGGACTCATTTCTTAATTGGATAACTTCTTTTGCGGGGGAAGTGTTCGAAAGTTGAACTTCTAAACAAAACTGACTTAGTTACGTTTGGACGTTTTTATTGTAGGTATTTTAGTCGGGCTTGTAAATGCATGTCGCGGTTTGTGAATGTGATGGACATGCGTTCACCGGAGCTCGCTCAAGCTGTGGTGAGAAATTTTGGAGGATGATGAGTTTTTCGGTTGTTTGCAGAACTTGTTTTTCGGTTGTTGATGCAATTACTTTAGGATTTGTGCCGAAAGATTGGCACGGCAGAGTCGCGAGAACTTGGGGAGACGATAATGAATACGATCATCAGCACTATGCCGGCGATGACACTTGATAAGGCATCACGGTATATGTACGCCTTTGCGCGCCACGAAATTGTTGACGTACGGTTCTGGGTGGAGGCATCGGCTTATGTGCGCAACTGTGGTATGGTTCCGAGAGATTCCAACGACCTCACCACGCTGGTGTATTCCTTCCGGAAGGCATGTGTTGCTCATGATCCGATATACGACTATCTTGCCGAGCTGGCGACGGAGCAGTTGATCACTGGGCTGAATCCTGTGCAAACGCATACTTGTTTGGCAACGTTTACGAGGGTTGAATTGAAAGACGCATCGGTGGTGCAGAAGTTGGTTGACCATTTTGCTGATCTTGTTGAGCGCGCGGAGGAGTTGCATCCGTCAGCGATGGCGAGTGGTTTGAAGAGATCTCCGATGCTGGTTTGTGCGGAAGATATTCTTTCGGCTGCGGTGTCGATAGCTCGAGTGCCGGACATGGTCGATTCGTCGAGGATGATGAAGGCATCGATCAACTTGGCGTGGCGAGATTTGACGGTGCTTAGTAGTGATGAAATAGTATCGTTTCTGTGGTGTTTGCGGCAAGTGCAAGTTGAGGAAACGGAGGAGTTCTTCAAAGCGGCGGTGCAGGATTTGCTGAAGAGTCAACCGTCGGAGGGAGAGAAGGAAAATCTGAGCGCGGTGAAGTTGATTTGGTTGTGTGAGGCGTCGGAGATTTGGGCGACCTCGGAAGAGATATCCCGACTGATCAGCCGTTTGCGGAAATTGTTGCCTCAAGTTGATTCTTGTGGTTTGATGGCCCGGCTGGTGGCATCGATGACGAAATTGAACACTTCTGTGTGGGCGGATAACGGAGCATTTACTGATATGGTTTTGTCGAGGAGCCTCGATTTAGTTGCGGAAGCTCAAGGGCCGAGTGTCTTAACTGACATTTGTAATTTGTTGTCATTATTAGTTGATATTCGTCCCGAACAATCAACTGAATTGGCGTTGAAGGCGCTAGCGGGTCGGTCGCAAACAGAACGCTTGACGGCGATGAGAGTGTTGGGAATTGAGGAGGATCCGCAAGGGGTGGATGAGGCAGTGCAAACTGAGGAGGTGGAGGAGATCGTGGCGGAAATTGAAGTGACGCCCGTGATGGAAGATATGCGCCGGGAAGATTTTGATAAGATATATACGAGGTTGGCAGAAGGGCTGATGAGTTCGGAAGATTCTCGGGTTTTGGAGGCGGTAGATCGATTGACGGATGTTGTCGTGGATGGAACGCTGACGGCAGTGCAGTTGGTTTCGATTACGGAGTTACTCGTCGGAGAGGAATTTAGTGGCGCGCGGGGGTTGGGTAAAGTGTTGTATTTGTTTGAAAAGGTTGGGGAGGCGTCGGTAACGAGAATGAAATCGATGTCTACTGAATTGGCGGTACAACTGATGGCTAACTTTGCATCTTCTGGTGTGCCTTATGTATATTTATTCGAGAACATTATCAAGGATAGAGCTGCTACAATGTCGCCTATACAGGTGGGAAATATTTTACACTCGGACTGAACTGAAAAGTTCTTTGTCCGTTGTCAGGCTATTCGGACACTGGAGGCATGCGCGGCGCTCAGAATAAGAATGCCAGAAGAAATGACGTTGTTGGTGCGGCAGTGTCTCGAGGGACCGAATGCCTTGGTGCGGTTATCAAGCAGCCATGCAGTGAGGTGAAGAGGTCTACTTGCAATCTTGCATTTCCTCAACGGCCGCTTGCTGTAGGTTATTGACATGCACTTCTGCTTTGCGATTGGCTCCTCCTAGTGATCGGCGAGGCGAAGATGATTTTGTGGCGAAGATTTTAGACAGGTTGGCGTGGGGGGTCTTGCGTTTTTTCAGGATAACTCAAACGCTACTTTTGTGTGAATATATGGGAGGGAGCATATGCGCATCGCTCTCCACCATTGAAATTCTTCGACTTATCATACAACAGTGAAATCTCAGTGACGTCAAATAGGAAGTCGCAATAGGGCTCGTTGTTGCACTATTGCTAGCGTGGTGTATTTTCTCAGAGTGATGGACGCCGAGTTGTCTCCACTACCAGTCCAGTCTACAGTGAAACTGATCAATAGTTGTTTTCTCCAAGCGTATACGCCTTCTGACTGGCAAGTTGTGGCTCAACTCGAGTTACTGTGAATTATTGTTGTTTATTTCAGTCATTTGGTCTTCTTGTTCGACCGTCTGCAGAAGAGTCTATCTTCAGCTGAGGGTTCGTACTTGCGAGAGGCGAAGTATGCCGTAGCGCGGTATATGATGTACCTCTTTGCCCACCCGGATACGCACGTTGCGGGTATGTGGGTAACCATTGAAACTGGCTGAAAAATTTTATTTTCGATTATCGATATTCCGAATGGGATTTTGCAGTTCCCTTTCTCTGGCAATAGGCTTGTGGAACATTACGCTGAGGAGACCTCATCATCATGTTCCGTTGTTTCACGAGCTCTCAATGACACCCGTCCCAATCATTTTTTTCTCACGTACGTCTTGGTCATTCACCGTGATGAGTTGATATGGACGTCTGAGTCTGAGTCAGACTATTCGGAGTGATCACGCGGCGTGATCCACGCCTTCCCCTTCGACTTGGCCGTTGTGGCGGTGCTCGGTTATCCTGACGGTCGCGCTGCATGTGGCGGCCCCGTAAGGGCTATACTGAGGAGTGCCCTTGTACGACTGTCGGGTGATCCGGACTCAAGTCTGCTTATCGAGATAAACGCGGGCCTGACTCTGGGCGGGGAGTCACTGAGCCGGCTGACTGAGACCTGTAGCCTCCCGAGATGCTGCGATATATGTTCAGGCCTTCGGGATCCTTTCGACGGTATTCCCAGAGCGCATCTTTTGTGCAAGGTTTGCCGGTCTGTCATTCAGGGCTCCAAAACCTTGGAGGATTATCCTTTCTTCAAGTACGATATGGCATTTGCCTTGGCATTTGCCTACCTACTCATGAGAGAGGACGATCGCCGAAGGGCATCCGTGAGGGTGGGCTCGTCGGTACTCAAGAATTGACCCTCTCCTTCGGCGCGGATATCACTTGAGACATTATTGGGCACGTCTGAGTAATACCCGTGAGCTACCGCCGGTAGCCTACCGGGTGCCGCATGTTCACATACGCGGAGTTTTCGGGGGTCTGACATGGCGGCCGTGAATCGCAGCTTACCCTTCGGCTTCAGTACCACACCCTTGTGGTGGTGAAGGACAGGAGCTACCAACTCCGGCTCTTGCAAAGCTATCACAAAGCCTGCTCCGTGAGGGCGGTCTGATCTACATGGACGACATCGTATTTATTATATCCAAGAGAATCTGCGGATGACAGGCTATCTATTCTCATCTTGCTCTGGGTGGTCTTGGGTATCAAGTTCGCGTGGGAAAAAGTACACATCGCTGGCAATAACTCCAGGATTCATCGGGTTCTTGATGTCCGACTAGGGAGAAAGTGCCGGGTCACGATCGGCGCGAGAAAGAACGGGTTTGTACCCTTATCAATCACGATGGCTGACCAGTAACCAGTCTCATCATGAGACTCTCATGAAAATTTTGACCAGTTTCATAAGTTCGCGGTGAACTGTTCACCTGCCGTGTTCCAAGCGCGGGGTTAGATTGCTGCAGCCCGCCAGGCAGCGATCACCCCAAGGAGACATGTCTGCTAACTCTATCTCTATCTGATGAGCTCTACATGCTGAGTATACTCGACATGATTTTCCAGCAGTTTCTTCTGTACGACTTGATTTCTCCCAATTCATAAGCCTTGAAAGTTTGATGACAACAATTTCTCAATGAGTTGTGGTATATACTATCTTGTGGTGAATATTTAATTTGCGTTGCATGTTGAGCTCCAGGTTGATACACTTAATTTTCAGGCGCAGTGACGCGGTTACCAGTGGAAAGCCAAGAATTCATAGCAAATCTTACAGTGGAAAATAGTGACGACTCTGGGTCGAATCATAGCAAAGCTGCTGCGTCTGATACCACACTCGAATTGAGGCAGAGAGCTACACTGGAGATGGCCAAGGCGGGAATACCGTAAGTCGATTGAATTTTAGGGCGCGCGAAAAGTTTCTGTATATTTTAGATATGATATTGATGTGAGGATCTTTGAATCGGGGGGATGGGAACTGACTTGTGATGTGTATGTGCCGAGTAAATCTATGATGATCATGTTGCATGGTCCTGAGAGCTTCTATCGCCAGCTCAGTGCTGAGGCGGTTTCCAACTCTAGTAGTAGAGGAGGATTGGTTTTATATCGTGATTCATCATATCGCTTATCAGATGAGGAACCGTTACGCCTTACATTGTTACCAGAAGCTAGTATTAACAATTGGCTACTTTCGCGCTTGGTGAAACGCCGGAAGGATATTCTCGCGGCTGCGAGTGTGATATTTCCAGAAAGAGCATTTAAATCAGCGACAGAAAAGTGCCTGTTGGACCTGCCGGAGTCGCTGAGAGTTCGGCATGTGACGTGGTTACAAGCGCGAGGGTTGGAGGGACGTGAATTGTTGGAGACTCTATTTGGAGGGTAAAGGCATGTTTGAAATTGTGAGTTTCTGAGATACGCGGTGTTGCGTTGTAGTGGAGTTGGAAGGGATTTTAATATGTTGAATTATTGTTTTTGAAAATGTCTTCGTTTGTGAACAGGTATAAAGGAAATCGAAACATGTGTTGGGTATGTATATAGAAATTATATGTGAAAATGTGTTCCATTGAAGAGTGAACTTTCCGTAATTTTCTTCAGATTTTCCCGGAAAAAACTGCGTTGCAAAAATCACTTCTGATAGCAAATGTATACTCGATTTGCACGACTGTTAAAAGCAGTGAAATCGAACGATTATATTGTACAGGAGAGTCTTGTAGTTACTGTTTATACCGTGTATCGACAAACAGCTGCCACTGGTGAGTTTAGATGACCTTCGATGCATCAGACATAGAGAAGGAGTTGCATAAGTAGTATCTTAGGTTCAAGCTCGTAAGATTCAAGATAGGTTGGTGTAGATACTACCGCGCGGAGACACAGGAGGAGTTTCGGCGAAGAGTGGAAAGCGTGGCGGATTTGGAAAGAGCGCTCAAGTTTGCTCTGTAGGTTCGCGATGATAAAGAAACGCATTTTTTTTCTCGAAAAAATTGGTTAATTCTTAAATACTCGGGTGAAATAAAGAGTGACAGTTTTTGGTTTTCAGGCAAACCTCAGCTTCGACAACCCCCACCGAGCGGAAAGCCTCCCCAGCCACACCAAGTAGGAATGCAGATTTGTGATGGTTTTAAATATGTTATTCGTAGGAGCATCACCCGATGTGATGGAAGGTAGAGTGGCATCACCAGCTGGTAGTACATGTGAGAGCTGCTCGGCATTTGAGGAAACGACTGAGTCGACTGACAGGGACCCGATATTGTTGGTATTTGGAAGTAATATGGGGGGGGGGGAAATGGTGTTGGTTTTTTGGGGAAAAATCGATCGTGTTTTGTGAGTTTTGCAAAGTGTTTATTGACATGTTTCTATGTGTGTTTGGTTGAATAGCCGAGTCGTGATAAATTGGAAATTGAAGTTTAATCGAAAATTTAGGAAACTAGTAAGATTGGAAAATTGGATGAAGATATGTCGACGTAATTTTAGGAAGGAATTGCCGTGATGTTAATCGATCAATCGGGGAGTTTGAACTTTCCGTGCCTACTTGATGATCTGTCATAGAGTTAGATTCTAAATAGCCATCATAGTAGAGTTTCACCACCCTAGTGATATGAAAAACACTAGTTAAAAACAAATTTCACGACTACTGTATATCGCGAATATCGCCACTTCACGAAAAACGGGTGAAATTCCGTATGATACAGATAGAGATAGTTATAATGATAACTTACTTTCAACAACATATTTTTAATACTAAGCGAGAAGTATTCACTTACAATAGAGTTTCACCACCCGTTTTACATGAAGTGGTATAAAACTCGGTGAAAAACGCGATATTCGCGGTGATATGCAGTAGTCGTAAAATGTGTTTTTCACATCACTAGGGTGGTGAAACTTGAATATATATCATAATTCTGTTGCATGATGTTGAGGTACTCTGATGGAGATAACTACACCAACATCTGATATCGATACGGTTGTGTTGGTAAGCGATGTGAAACGGAGTGCTTATATGAAAAGAGTTCAAAAAGTAATAAGAAGCATTTGGGTTCTCATGTGAAGATTGATCTATTTCTGCGGTGTTGAGCTCAGCTCCCACACTTTATTATGAAAATTCACAGTACCGAAAAAAACCAACTAGAATTCATCATCACAATTTTTTCATTATCATCGTTCATGTAGTTGGCCATGTGCATATCTTCCCAAGTGAATCGAGTCGTCATGGAGAAATAGAAATATCAGCTTGGGGAAATGTGAAATGTGTTGATGATAATGTGAAAATTCTGGAAGAAAATTTTCGGAAATTTTTGTTGGTTTTGGTACGTGAGTTTGAATAGTTACTGAAGAAACTCTTAAGCTGAGCTGAGGAAATCAAACATGTATTCCTCCAACAGTGAGAAATACTATTACGATACTACACCATTTCCGAATTGATTTGTCGAAAATTGGTGAAACGTTCTTAAAATGATCAGCAATTTATTAAAAATTTGAGAAGTTCAGCGAAAAAAGTCGGTGAAAAAAGTTTTTTTTCCCGAAAAAAAGGTAAATTTTCGTAAATTCCCGTAAACGCTTGAAATTTTTGAAGCGTTGTGGTTGATCGATCAGGTGTTGACTGAAATGGAACCTTTCCGGTCCTATTGTGACGATTTCTCACTTCTGGCCGACTCCTTGGTGCCCTACATAAAGTGCTCGTAAGTGTGAAATTAGCTATCGATCACGTGATCGATTTGGGCAGATACCGGGGGTATCCAGTGGACGTACAATTTGCGGTTCTGCCGAGTACAGTGTTGAAGGAATGTCATGATGCTATTCAAGCTGAAGTTCATCGGTGGGCCTGAAATGAATCTTTTTATGAAAGATTCTTCCTATGGTGTTTCAGCATACACCCGAGTCAATACCAGGGCTAAGGGCATCAGCCTTATCGAGTATATTGGATAGGGTGTGCACTGCTGGACTGTTGGAACCGGAGGGAAGCGCCGCGGCAGATTGGAGCAATAGTTTGGTGAGTTGCGATGGTGATGAATTTGAGATTTACTTTCGACTTGGAATTTTATTATTATTTTTAATATATTTTTTGAAGAAGTGAATTAGTAGAGTTTTGATGTATTACACCATCATCATATACAGTGGAGTTTCACCCTGGTGATATGAAAAACTCATTTTACGACTACTGCATATCACCGCGTTTTTTACAGGGTATTACGCCACTTTACGTAAAACTAATCGTGAAATTCCACAATGTATTCTCCCCAAAGTTGGACGAGAATTTGTAACTCTTTTCTGTCCTCTTGCAGGTCGACGATGCTACTATACGTTCTCTGAATGGTGTTCGTGTGGGGAGGTATCTTCTGAAGAGGACCCCGGTGTTGGCAGTTTATCGAGTGGTGCTTCGCTTCGTGAAGATGTGGGCTAAGGCTAGAGGCATGTAAGTGAGGAATTTACTAATATGATATTCACTATTGGTCTTTTTAAAGATGGGACGGAGCTCACTGTGTGTGTCTCCGGTTCGATTCCCGGGTTGGACATTTTTCTGTCCAATAAGTTTTCGTGCATATCTCTGCGAGCTGTTCGAAGAATCGAGTTGTCGATTCTTGAGTGAATCTCGGCATATAGAGGAGTCGTTTGATTTATGGTGATCACTATGGTATATGGTGGTCTATATTTAATCTTTGGCGAAGCGTAGTTTAGCTAGGATAGTTCTGCACGCATGCACAACGCAAGAGTGCCTGTTGTTGCGGTATATGCTCCGCTCGCTCCGCAATTTCCGGGATTTGTATAAACGTTTTAGCTTTCATGATAATATAATATGAAAATTTTGGGAGAAAATATTGGAGAAATTTTAGTGGTTTTTGTGAATCTCGATTTGAATTTACTATGAGCAGCCTTTGAAAACTGAGGAAAGCGGACATAAAGTTCTACTACACCACATAAATGGAATTCTCCAACCGAATAGAGTTTCCGAAAAGATGGTATGTGCTCAGATACAGTAACGTAATGGGTTATTTTGGTGGAGTTACTTGGGCAATTTTGGTGTCAAAAGTTATGCAAGATAATGCGGAGCTGGCTATGAGAGAAACGGAGGAGGATGCTGTGAGGGAAATACTGCTGAAGTTTTTCGATTTTTGCAGTAAATAATTTTGTGGCGCGCGAAAAAATATTTTCCGATTGGTAGGTACTCATCCGTGGGGAAGTGAGAATCCGGTGACAGCTAATGATGAGATATTGAAGTGGGCGAGTGGGGAATCTTTGCGCACAGCGAAGATTTTTGAAATTTTTTCAGTGGTTTTGTATCGGCGGGATCGGTTGAGATGTACACACCTCCAGCGAGGGATATTTTTGGAGACGATGGTGGGCGGAGCGAAGCGATGCATGTTTGTAATTTTTGGTATTTAGATGTTGTTGATAAGCAACTAGCGCCACAGCATGTTTTGAGAGACCCGGCAGAATGCCCGTATGCTGCTGATGGTGAGTAATTTTTTAAAAAAAGCTTTTTCGGGATGTGGAAAAATCCGGAGTTTTGGGATCGAACCGGGGTCCTTTGGGTTTGCAGTTGAAACGGTGACGAATTTCAGCGCTGGTGATTTCAGAAAAATTGCAATTCTTTGGATTTTATGTTGTTTGAACTTGAGCCCTGTATTCTTTCGTATTAAATTCTGAGAATATATTATAGGATTTTCTGAGAAAGTATTATAGGTTTTTCTGAGGAAATATTATAGGATTTCTTGGGGAAATATTATAGGATTTTTCGAGAAAATATTTTAGAATTTTCTGAGAAATGTATTCTCCGTTATATTGAAAGAAACATTTTTCTATTATTTGACTTTACATTAGTTTAGAATTAATAAGTGGGAAGCAATGCATAAGAGGGGCACATGCTGAGAGTATAAGAGTATGTAAGAAGAGTTTGTGGAAAAAAATTCGAAAATGTGAGATATTGACGCACGATTATATCCACGTAGCTTCAAAATGGTAATGTTGTGTAGGATATTTATTGGGACTGGGAATAGAACCCGGGACCTTCGGATTACCCACTTTCGGTTAGGCGTTGGTATTGAGGGGCAATGCATGGTGGTGCTCACTCCGGTATTGCCGACGCAGAATTCGAGTTTCAACGCTCTAGACTTTAATCGCTACGTGATGGTTCAAGAATTCAAGAGAGGTAAGCATAATTTTGTGGCGCGTGACGCTTGCTGACTTCATTATCTTTTCAGCTGCCCATATGTTGTCACTATTTGCCCTTTCCCCGCAAAGTTGTCCATTCCGTCTGGGAGCAGTGTGTGCACGCGTGCACCCTTTCAGATTGTATAAGCGTCTGCTTTTCGTAGAGGTGGATAATTTTTGGGCGAGCGACTTTGAGGATTTCTCTTCATTTCTATTAGGTGGAAATTCGACCAGAAAATCAAAGGACGTTGAGTAACGATGATGTAGTATTAGTTTTATATTGTAGTTTTGTGTTATGCGTCGCTCCGCCTTTTTTCAGGTGCATCTCTTGCAAAAACGGATAGCGGCTATGGTTGAGTCAAAAGTCAGAATTTTCACCAAGTTGAGTGCTGCGGCGTTTCATGAGGAAGGCACATGTAATTTGGGGCTCGACGATTATAGATGGGCGAGAAATTCCGAATTAGTGATTTCCTGTGTCGAAAGTTGTATCAATATCACTAGTTTTTCAGAATATTGATTTGCACGCATGCACACAAAGATACTTTTTGGTTCAGATTTGCGACTCTATCCCCATCCTCAAGTGACTCAGCCGTGGACGGCTTCTGGAGGAGGAATCGCGTACGGGTCCCCTTCGTGGCGATTTTGTGGCGCAGTGACGTTTTTGGTTGTGCTGTTGTTAGGTTTTTGATCGGCCTCGCTAGTAGGTTAACGGGCGAGGAGAATATCGAAAGGGAAGAGGAAACTCATGGAAAGTAAATACGGAAAATGCGGGGTGCCGGGATCGAACCTGTGTTAATTGTTTCAGAGTTGACCTTCGGCCGAGTTTGCAAGAGTTCACTTCAGTGTTGCGGAATATTGTATTAACAGCGGAGGAGAACGAGCAGGACAATTACAAAGGGTGCAACTTTTTGTCGGGTGGTTTACTCTAGTCGTTAGTGTGTTAGTCTGTCATCCTCGGGATCCCTGGTTCGAAACTTGGTTGGTGTTTTTTCAGTTTCAGCAGTGGTCGGAATGTACGCGTCAAGTACGGCCTTCTCGAGATGCGTGACGGAGTTCCAACTGTTGTCACCGACTTATAATGCCACTATTTCATTCATCGTAACGTTTCTTACAAATCGTGGAGAGTCTTGAGTGAGAAGGAGTAGTGGTGAATGATCGCTTGTTTGATCTAGTGAGGGGAGGCCGAGCAGACTGAAGATCATTTTACGATTCTTGAATCAAAATGTGGGAATTTTTGTTGTTGTTTTTCCACTGGGACTAACTTGAATCATCGGCTGAGAGAAAAAGATTTTTTTTCGTAATTATGGTGATTGTGGAGAGACAAGTGTTGAAAATCGTCAATTACGTATGTATGTTGGTGAGAAGTAAGGCTGCACCGTTGACATGACGGCCTCGATGCTTGGCCGTCTAGTCTGATAATAAATGGTCAACTTTGGCGGCAAAACGGCCCTCAACCGGGTCGTGCCGCGACTTGGTCATATAAGAAGAAGAAGGTGAGAATAAAGGAGATCGCGAGGAACTCCTAATGATTTCTATACACTCCTGATCACTCAATCGTCCCATGGTTGTGTGTTGTGAGATCTGTCCCTCGTACTAGCGGTGGCTAGCAGGGGGTATCGGAAATTGTAGAGAACTGGTAAAGGCATCAATTCAGGTGAGAAGGAGTGCAGCATGAATTCGTAGTCGTCTAGGATGAATTTGTATGTAATGGGAGATTTCGTACATATTTCTACCATTTTCGGGATTTCATTAGCATTCTGCGAAAGGGTGAATAAATGTATTTATATATTTGCGGAATATCATCACATGAGATGATTGAGCCTGTGCGGGTTGACGTGCTTACTTTCCTGCCAAGATTGTCTACCCTGTTTAGCTATCATGAACGACAGTGCTGTTTCGACCTTACAGACCGCATTCGCGGATCCCCTGCCGGCCCTGCGCGAGGCGATTGCTGAATACGCTTGGCCGAGTCTGAGGCGACACCTTGGTCCGGATGCAGAGTCGATCATCAGTTGTATGGAAGACTCCAAAATTGCGAAGCCTCAACCGAAGCCCGTCCCCGTGCATGAAGAGCCGAGGGACGGTGGGGAGGAGGAGGCGGCGGCAGAGGCTCACCCTCGTCGTGATCATCGGAAGCATAGGAATCCGGATTGGCGCGCGAGGAAAGCGAGTCCAGGTAGGGGGAATTTCGTGGCGCGTGAAGGTTCGGCGAGGAAAGAGAATTCCCACTATACAGTGTGAATTGAACAGTTATGCATATGGAAATTTTCTTGAATTTGAGAGTAATGCCACTATAGACTACAGAACGCTTCTAAAACGTTGGTGTCGATCGATTCACATTGTTATCATGTTGATATTAATTGACAAAAATTGTTGGTGTTGAAAATATATACTCTTCATAACGGTTGGGCTCGCACTGTAGTTGTACTACATGGGGTTCCCATCACTTCAGGTGGTGTTTATTGATTCCACATTTTGGGAAAAAATTCATCAACGACTACCTACATCAGTTGGTGTGTTTTTTCAAGTATAAATTGCGATAATCTCAGGGCCACTTCCACTGCTCTACGTCCCCGCACAAGACTATGAGGTCTACGCAAACGCACTGGAGGGGTATCCGGCGAGGGCTCAGATTTATCCTGGCATGCCTCGCACTGTGAAGAATTTCGATAAGATGGAACCGGGACTGCTCGCGTTGGAATTCGGCGCGGAATATATGGTACCTGGTGGGAGATTCACTGCGATGTATGGTTGGGACAGGTAGGTAGCGGGGATTGAACCTGGGTCGTTTGCATGAGAGATGCCCTCTGCAGTTACTTCATCATTTTGGGCCTGCTGAGCTCTTCGGACCCCCCGGCGCCTGACTTGTTGAGAACGGCAATTTCTATGCTAAAACAACAGGTTTATGAAATCGAGAATTATGGATCTGTTTTGAATGCCAATCGATCGTAGTAAGAGGTGATGTTGAAATCGATCACGTGATCGATTTTAGATACTTTTTGAATCGTTCTCAACCACCCTTCATTTCATCAACATTAATGGCTCTTCTACCGTATATTAAGAACGATACCGAATTCGTAAGTCACAGACTATTTGCACATCGTGTATCACTTCGCTCCGCTGTCATCGAGAAGAGACCATTCCAACATGAAATCTATGGACTCGAGACGTGGCCTTCTCCACGTGTGGAGTCTAACTTCTGTTAACTCTCCCGACTGCTCTGGAGTATAATTTTGCTCGCCCTTAATATATCGGTGATGGTTGCAAACACATGTGAAAATTCTGAATGATTATTATCTATCAAAATGTATAAGATTTAGTAATCTGTTTGTGATTTTTAAAATGTCTCAAATTCGTTTACGTGAGTCTACGGCAGTGCCATTGTCCCGTTTTGCGGGTTAGAGTTGATAAACGTTTATCAATGGCTCGTATGATCTACCGAGATGTGAAACGTGTAAGAAAAACACTATCTAGATTTTCAGATGAAAATCCAAATATATGAAAAAAATATTTATTTTTTTCGGAATTTTCCGAGGAAAAATTCTCGCGCCTTTGAAATTATTCGCTGTGCGCAGGTATCAAGAGCTACCGCAGCGATTGTCAAAGAATATGATAACGTGTGGAAATGCGGTCATCGATACGACAGAGTCACTGGACTCTCTAGGTGGGATAGTCAGTGTGGGAAAATGTGGGAAAATTATTGTGCATTTCTGTCGGGTGTAATTCCATTTTTTCTCACTCTATGTGGGGGATTTTGCAAACCGTCTGGATGTGGGCCTCGTATAACACGATTAGAGTATTACTATAGTAACGCTGACATGTTTAGGCTATTTTTCAAAAATTTGCAGGAGTTGTGATGAATTCCGATAGGTACGATGGGCATCCTGCGACACAATGCAGAGCGACTGAGCCCGGTCATTATGCATGGATGGAGAGTCTAAGTGGAGATGCGCTGAAAAGAGCGGTGAGGAAAATTTTGGGGAAAATTTTGTGGAAATTTTTTGCTGATGGCTTTAGATTCGTTCGGATATGGCAATACAAGAATCGGGTCATGATACGACTGCAAGATTGACGAGAACTGATGCCTGCGATATGGCCACAGTCGACCTGAATTGCATATTGTATAGGATTGAATCTGATCTCGCGAGTAAGGGCGATACTACTGTGTGGAAGCACACAGTGATGATAATGCACTCGGGGAAAAATAACTTGACATTTTTGTTGATATATTCGAGTTTTCACGACCCGTTTTGCGTGAAGTGGCGTAATACTACTCTGTGAAAAACGCGATATTCGTGGTGATATGCAGTAGCTGTAAAATATGTTCTTCACTAGTGTTTTGCATGACACTAGGGTGAAACTCCATTATTAGAGTTTATGTTTTTTTCTCAGCTGGGGGATACCTATTTGGGTATGGAAAAATATCAAATTTTCATCATACTGCGCGCATTATTTTGAAGCGCACAAGAATCAGGGGGTCGTAGGTATACTGTAGGAGATATGCACATGTTGAACTATGTGGTGGTGAAAATATATGAAAATTATGAGGAAATTCCGGGAAATTATTGTTGGAATTTATACACTTCTATACACTAAGTCGTGTGTGTGGTTCCTGAGGAAACTCTGGTGCGGCTCAGCTGAGGAAACTAAATATATATGCCCATACTGCGGATGCTGTTTTAGAGTATAAAGTTGTAGCTTTTTGGCGGCAGGCTCCGGTACTGAGATGGATGATTGATCGGATGCAATACGAGCACTTGGTTTTCTTGCTGAAAAAAATCAGCTGGAAAATTTCAGCTGAATCGGAATCATTCAGCTGGAAGTCTCCAATTCACGATGGCCTTGCTTCCTGCTAAAGTCATTCATCATTTTTAAGTTTCTATTAAAATTTTTTTCAGAGCTCCACGAGCCCTCGAGAGATTGGCGTGCATTGGCGCGCGCCCGGCGAGAAACCATGTTACATCTGATGTAAACGTTGTGGCGAATTAATCGTTTAATGAGCAGTTTCCAATAGGTACATTCCGACACGTGGAGCCTTCTTCGACTACAACACCCGAACGAGAGTACTCGATTCGTCAGTGCTCTCGGCGACTGGGGTGTCGTATCCGCTCTGGTGTGGTATGTTGGATAGAGATAGGACGATAGTGGACAGTTTGGTGAAGACTTTGATGACAAAACTGGCGGCTCCTGGAGGAGTGCTTTCTGATAACATCACTGATGATCATCGAGGGTAGGTGTCAGATCTCGCTCGCCCGGAAAGATTTATGACGGACGCAATTTTCGGAATCGGAATTTTCGGCAGCATGATGTCAGGTTTCGTGGTCAGTGGGATTGGCCAGCGGGTTGGGCTCCTCATCAGATGCTCACATGGATTGGCTTGATGCGATTGAATAAAGTCAAAGAGGCTCGGGATTTGGCATCGAGGTAAGATGTACATTGCCACTTCACCCGCTATATGTGAAATGGCGTGAAACTCGGTGAAAAACGCAATATATGCAGTAGTCGTGAAATTAGATTTTCATATCACTGAAATATATATAAAACCATAATATTCGAATAACTCTTGTCATTTCTTCTTTTTTCCGAGTCTCCAATGCAGGTGGGTGAGCTTAGCGTTGGAGACATTCATAAACTACGGTTGCCTGCCCGAGAAGTTCGACGTTGTGTCCTGTACATCAACATTGAATCTCGAATATGGCAATCAGTGCACAGATTTTGGGGACTTCTTCGGCTGGACGACCGCCAGCGTAGGTGTCAATATCTACGGGATGGTATCGGTATTGTTGATGACTACTTTCAGGTTGAGTTCGCTCTGCAGTATGTGTTGACGGATGGAGATATCGCAGAAATCGAGAGAAATATGAAAATGGTCGTGAAAAACCATTAATTTTACAACGGCTCTCTTTGGAGTTTCTCTTTAACCTTTCAAGTGTATGACTCGTCTCACAGTGTCAAGTGGCTTCCATCAACAGCATATGTTGAGTTACATTCCTCCATAACTCACTAACGTCGGAACATCGAGAATAATCAACTGAAAGCAATATATGATATTCTGCCACTAACATATAAACGTCGACTAAAGTCCAGTTTGGTCCCATCTGTTCGGACGGGAGATTTAAAACTCTTTCATCATAAGAGAGATGGCGATCACGCTATGCAGCTCCACGGAGTTTTGATAGTCCGCTTTTCTCTATTGTTATGCTGTATAAAGTTATTGCTCTGAGGCATACACCTTCGAGCAGGGTGCATTACATTTCTATGGCATAACATGGTGCATGGTGATGACCATTTGAGAACGACATCTCGAATCGCATTGGGGTGAAGGCACCGGCGTGCATAGAAAGGCATCTGATATAACTTATTTATAGAGTTAGTTGAAACGAACCAATTCCTCAATGAAATGTTCCTCTCGGAGTAGCTGAGAGGCTTGACCCTTGATTAGGTGGATAACGAATTCCACGTGATTCCTCCTGGGTGGGCATCAACTTCTGCCGGATTACCTACTCCATGGGTATATCTACGAATCTCTTGAAAGTGCTTCACTCAAAGACTCCACTAACATCAAGCGATGGATTGCATTATCTTTGATGATGTTGATGTTTAAGTTCTTATGCGATATATCCCTTCACGATTTCCTTATCCTGGTTATGACGTTGAGTTCTTACAGTAGTAAGTCTCATTATAAAGCGAAGAACACGAATGAGCCGGGAATAGGATAAGGATGATCGGCGCTATAGATCTCTCGTCAACGGAATCACTACTAGGAACTCACGTGGTTAAATCAGCAGTGAATCAGTCAATATACCAGCAGTGTTTGACCAAGGCAAGCATAGGCAATTCATCTCCTTGGCTATTGCTCCGTGTCGCAGTGTATATCTTAGCCTAGCATCAATTGAGACTAGTATTGATTATATTGATTAGTAAGTCTTTCCTGTAAGCTCTCTAGTTTGGCGTTCTCTGAATGAGAGATAAGCTAGGATAATGCTGGTTGGTATTCCGAATCTATACACCTCAGAGGTAGCTGGTCCCTCATGATGGATAAATCATCGGAGTTAGAGCGACGATGTGATCAGTTTTATGATTGTCTTAATATAACACATTGCATTTCGATGAGTATTTGAGACGGGGTTGTTGGGCAAAAAAAAGAAAAAACCGAACCATAAAAGAATCCGAAGTGTTCAGTATGTGGATCATTGATGAGACCCCTCTTGGAGTAGCTTCAGGGGACCATGTCACAGAGTTGAATCCACTGATTGCCGTGATAGATCATCATCATCATCATCATCAAAGAAAGTTAACCCGGATAATTGTGGCTTCCTCGGACAATATCGCTCGTGGATGAGGGGCATTCAAGCTCGTGTGAAGGAGCCTACAAACCATTATGAGATACCCCTTCAAAAGCTATACGCATCCCATAGAATTCTGAGAAGATCGTCCAGGGGGCAGCGAATACGATGTTGGCGAAGTCGTTCTTGACCATTCTAACTTTACATATCTGCATCACTCTTTTCTTGAATTGATCAAGATCTTCTGAATCCCTGAGCTTCTTGAAGTTGTAGGACACATAAGGGTGCTTCACGAACCCGTCAGCCACAAGTTGGAATGTAGCGCTGCTCTTCTTGTTCTCACAATCCACGGCGAATTCTGCGTACGGCCAGACAGTACTCTTGACAAGCAAGTTGACAGTCATCCCTCTATAACGATATTGATAGTGGCCTGGTTGTGGGACGAGCCCAACCCTTTTGAGTGTGACACGCTTGCCCTCGAAAGTCATCTCATTATAGTCACCGGATGTGAATGTGAGAGTACGAAAATCTCCACTGACGGGCTCGACCTTGCGGCACGTACTCCTGACTCTTTCGAAGACCGCGGTGAAGTTCTCGTGGCCAGGGCCGATGTTGTACTGTCCCGAACGACGAGTGGGAGAGAGAGTTAATGGACCCAGCTTGGAAGTGGTTACAAAAGGCGATCCACAGTACAACTTAATATTCATCAACTTATCTTCCCCGATGTACACCCAGAGTTTGTAATTCGGGGATGGAGAATAGTATCTCCCAACGGTCTGAGCGTCGGCGACGAAGAGTAAGTAGATGAGCGGTCCCAGAGAGAACAGCATCGTAAAGAATTCTGAAGACGTCACAGAAAGAAGACATAATGGCCAGCATGGCCAACGCCGTGTATCATTTATCATACACCTCGACAAGTAACAGAGGTCATACCAAATTGACTGCCACTGACGTCACGAGCTGCACTGGCTTTTTTGCTTAAAATACTATAACAGTAGATACTGGGCGAGGGATTGGTATATCCGAAGTGCTCTTCTCTGTATCAACTATATCAACTTCTATCGCTTCCCATCGAACGTCCGACCCCGTTATGCAAAACGCTAACGTAATACGCAATGCGTATTACGCATTACACAACACGCAGTGAAGCGTGAGACGGATTAAGTGTATACGATCATGTCTCGTTCTGGTCATACAGCACTAAGGTCATTGGGCGAGTGGAAGTGTTCTGAACGCAAATCCGAGGCTGTCTGAGATCACAAAGTCCCCGAGCTCCTCTCGAGGCTTCATTGATTTTGCTAATTATATATGGACAGCGTCATGTTTCTCTTACCGCTCACGTTACCTTCCGGGAAAACGTGAACTTGTATTCTATGCTACATTGGTGGTTTACGATTTTTACGTTCAATCTCCACGCTTTTTTTAGTTTCACGCTGAAATACTAGTCGTACAATGTACGACTAGTATTTCAGCGTGAAACGTTTGTACGACGTACATGTCAGAGACACGCGGATCGAGATCCTAGGCATCGAATGGAGGTCCTCAATAGTATCACGCTAATACTCTTTCACGAATACGAATGCTGAGAGAGTTTCATTCTCGACTCGGCTGCTGCTACCACGAACCAAAGGGAAACTTTCCTTGTAAAAACAGGAGCTCCCACGTATGGTTGCGAGACGCTGTATACACCCTCGCTGAGACGAACCTTCAGCCAAAAGACTTGCGATCTGCTACCGCCTCCGAAATCGAGGTAATTCATCAGGTCCCTAGTGGATGGACGAATAAGGCTTAACTTCAGCCGCTGTAAGTACAATAAGACGACGCAGAGAGCATTCGCGTCGCAACCTCAAAGTCACACAGCACAGACATCAGGTTTTTTATCGCTTAGAACTCGCTGCCGCTCATTCGGGATCTGCGGGAATGCTTGTAGGGATTTTTCGATCAGGGGAGATCTCGGAAACGAGTTTGAAAGAGCGTGAAAATATGACTCATTTTCATGATCTGCAACTATCTCTTTTATTAACGTCATTAGGCCATGTGTGAGCCTCGCTCTCATCGGTATCCTTCGCAGCAATAACGGTCCGTGATGTAAACTCGTCCAACCGTTCAACAGTGTTGAATCAACACGTTATTAGCAATGATAAGCAGTTTACATGGTAGAAGAGAGTGTCAACTCCATACGGAAGATATCTTCTATGAATCGTAGATAGTCCATCTTACCTGTCCGACAAAACAGGACATGATCGTTCACTCTCATTTCATGCAGTGTCCAAGGGCTAATCTACATAAACTAGATCGGATATCTCATGGCATGAATATTGGATGCTTGATGATGCCAACTAATCATCATCGAATGGATGAGTTATCCCCGGGTTTCCTCTGGAGTCCGAATTTCTTGTGAAGGAAATGTTTGCCTCCTAAAGTAGGTGGAGGGTCGTCGGGACGAACTCACAGGGCAATTATTGCGATAGGTTTTAGAACACCAAATGAACTGTCGCTTCGTTCAGAGACAGTATAGCGCCCCTCAAGCGAGGAACGACGTATGATCGAATTTCAAGTTCAATCGAAGAGGAGCTCAACCTCTAGACCAACTTCCGAGTGTTGTTGCAGATAGCGGTATATAATATTTTGTGGCACTTTGCTGGGCCATAATATCCTATTGTTTGTGCTGTCAAACACTTCAACTTAGCAGTTATTGTCTCGATGCTCACCATCAGCAGTCAGATGTCCCCTCAATGCCTCTTTGATTTCCTCAGGACGCATCTTCCAACCACCCAGTATTTCGTTGATATCATCAACTTCGATGAAACCAGAAGGCCCGTGCGCTTCCTCACTAAGGAAAATACAAAGAAGCCTACGAATTGTGTCAAGCCCATTCGTCTGTCCAATGGAGTTTCGCCTGCTTCATGAGAAATGGCGTAATATTCCAGTTGAAAAAAACGGGATATTGGCCGGTCAGATGTTTTTCCGCGAAGTGGAATGTGAAATATGCTTTTCACCGGTGTTCGACATGTAACAGGTAAAAACTCCAATGAATATCATCCGCATCTTGCGTCTATTGTGCTCTAAATACGGCAGGTAGTTATCATCTACAGAGTTTCAGTAGTTGACTACGACACCAAATAAGGTCGGGTGAACACCTCTTGTCGCCTCTGGTCGCGTCAAGTTTCGCGTTGCCCGTCTTTCCACTGATCGTCCTCCTGGATGCTTTTGCTAACATCGCTGATTGCCCCGGTCTGCGGCGTCGTTCCGTCACATCCTCGTGTTGGAAGGCCTCAAGAAGCCTGTCGAGTTCAAAAACTCCTCATCAGCGGTTAACGATAGTGGACGGAAAGTTTCCGTCTTCTACGGTCGGAAACGGTATGAGCTTAGATATTTGAATCCAGATGAAATCACTGAGTTCGGCCACTCGCCGAGTGATGAGAGTGTCAACCGGCTGCAACTCCTTCAAAAGCTCAATCACCTGCTTGAGATTCAGTCGAGAGTGTTTGGCTGAGTCTGAGATATCAAGCTTATGGTCGTGAGATTCCGAACAGGCTACGTGAAGTCTCTAGCAAGCCAACCCTACTAGTTCAACTATCAGGTGAACCTCGAATCATATTTTAACGATGCGCAAGGCTCCCATTATTTTAATGCGACCAATGTGGCGTTAATTTTCGGCGTGATTCCACGATGGTTTTCAAAAACCCATCGTAGAATCACATGATGACGCTTGACTGTTGGACTCGGTTACAGCGACTATTAACTTGCCATATTAGACAAGAAAACACTATCGTTCTGTCCACTGATTGGTAGTTTAATCTCGTTAAGTGTCGTCATCGAGGAATATGAAGTTCATGTAATTGTTGTATATGCATTATCGTCTGAGTCTAGTTGATAGTTTTCACTCAATTGTCTGTATCCGGTAACTTCTTCCACTCTCCTCTCCAGATCTGGCTCAGCTGGCCTGATGCCGAACGTCATCAACAATGATGCAGTTTGTTGATAGGTAATGCTAAGAAGCACTAGGTCCCCGGTTCGATCCCGGCATTTGTCGTTTTCATTCACCTCCCTTTTGGAACGTCAAATAATTCACTCGTCTTTCTCCATCGCGGAGCAGAAGCTCCGTTTTTTTCAAGTTGTTGACGGAACGCCATGACGACCTCTTCGAATCGCCACTCGGGAATTCCGTATCTAATGATCAACAGAATCTTCGCTGTGCGCGAAGACACGTCTATGATATCTTCAATGATCAATCTCACTCAGCGAAATCAGTCTGTTGGGTAGTTGTTCACGGACGTACTGAACAACAATTCACCATTCAAGACCTTCGGTGAATACGGCGGAAACCAACTTGAACTGTGTCAACCGAAAGCGCTATTATTTTCCGGTACGACGAAAACACTAATTTAATATCACTGTGAAGCTTATCATACTAAATGTGATACATAGGGATGTAGCCTCTCAACTCGACTTCTGGGATTTACGCTGTACCAGTGTAATGAGAGTAGACTGATAGCTAGTATATCAGGCGTGAATGAGTCCAATAACCGAAGGACTTAGAATGTGAGTCAAGAGATTACATCAATAGCATACCTTTCAATGGCAACGAGGTGTGGTCCCCAAACTGTATATCGAGGCAACTACGCGCAGACAACAGGACTACACTTACTTGAGCATGCATTCGGAATCGTCCGCAGAGGATTCAATGGAGTCTATCTCGGTGACGGTTCGTAACGTCAACCCGGCCATCTATACTATACCACTCAACACGTTATTAGCAATAATAACCGATTTACATGCTAGAAGAGAGTGTCAACTCCATACGGAAGATATTTTCTATGAATCGTAGATAGTCCATCTTACCTGTTCGACAACACAACGCATCGCTCAGTCTCATTCCATGCAGTGTTCAAGGGCCAGTCTAGACCAACGCGATGGAACATCTTATGAAATATATATTGGATTCTTGGTGATACCAAGTAAGCGTTATCGAAGAGCTAAGTTATCCCCGGGTTTCCGAACTTTCTCGAAGAAAATATTTGCATTCTGAAGCGGGTGAAAGGTCGGTTCGATGGGAGCATTCACAAGGCAATTATCGCGATTAGAGGTAGAACAGCAAATCTTCGTTCAACGACAGCATAGCGCTACTCAAGTGCGGCACGATCTACAAACGAGTTGCAAGTTCAATCTCGAATCCAGCCTCATCGGAGTGTTGTTGCTGATAGTGGCATATGACAGTTTGTGCTGTCAAACACTACAACTACTTATTGTCTCGGTGCTCACCATCGGCAGTCAGTAGTCCTCTTAATGCCTCGTTGATTTCCTCAGGTCGCATCTTCCAGCCGCTCAATATTTCAATGATATCATCAACTTCAATGAAGCCAGAAGGGCCGTGGGCTTCCTCACTAGAAAAAGAACCAAAGAAGCCTACGAATCGTGTCGAGCCTTATGTTAGATCTGCTGAATCTCATCCTCATCCTGTGCCCATCTCACGCCAAATACGTCAGATAATGATCATTGTGTTTCACAGTCGGCAACGACACCCACAAGATTGTCTGAGCACCTCTTGTCGCCTCTGGTCGCATCAAATTTCGAGTTGCCCCTCTTTCCACTAATCGTCCTCCTGGATGCTTTTGCTAACATCGCTGATTGCCCCGGTCTGCGGCGTCGTTCCGTCACATCCTCGTGTTGGAAGGCCTCAAGGAGCCTAACGAGGTCAACGGTAGAGGACGGAAAGTTTCCGTCTTTTACCATCGGAAATGATGTGATGTCATTCGAGCAGATAAAAAATCCCAATGTTTAAAGTCAGATGAAAACACCGAGTTATCGGGTGAAATTCACTGAGCTCACCCGCGACTCACCGACTGATGAGAGTGTTCACCGGTTGCAACTCCTTCAGAAGCTCAATCACCTGCTTGAGATTGAGTCGAATGTGTTTGGCTGAGTCTGAGATACGAAGTTGATGGTCGTGAGGTTCCGAACAGGGTACCCGAAGTCGGCTTTAACCGTAAATGAATATGCTCTCACAATCGGTTCCTAATAATTCAATTATCGGGAGGACCTCGAATTATGGCTTAACGATGCACAGTGCTTTTAATGAAGTCGACGCTGGCCGGCGACACTGGATTGTTAGTCTAGAGTTCACTGGGCCAGCGATCATTAACTCGCCAAATTATGCCAGAGAAAGGTTTGGTATTTGATGGGCTCGATGATAGCTGATCATCATAATTTAATCTCGTTGACCGAATTCACTTCGGCAATTCGGCGAATTGCCGTTATAGACATATCCACGACTGAAGTCACGTATTCGTGGTATTTGCATTATCATCTGAATGTTTGATCGAGATGATAATTTTCACCTAATTGTCTGTGTCCGGTAACTTCTTTCACTCTCCTCTCCAAGGCTTGTTCGGCTGGCCTGATGCCGAACGTCATTAACAATGATGCAGTTTGTTGATAGGTAATGCTAAGAAGAGCCAGGTCCCCGGTTCGATCCCGGCATGTGTCGTTTTAATTCACCTCTCCTTCGGTACGTCAAGTAATTCACCCGTCTTTTGCCATCGCGGAACAGGCGCTCCATTTTTTTCTAGTTGCTGACAGAACGCCATCACAACCTCGTTGAATCTCCACTGGGGAATGCCGTATCTAATGACCAACGAAATCTTCGCTGTGCGCAGAGACGCATCCATGATATCTTCCATGATCAATCTAACTCAGCAAATTGACCTGTCGGGTAGTTCTTCACGGACGTACTATACAATTTATCAGAACTTCTGCAAATAAGGGCGAAAACGAATTTCGATCATGCCAAACGGAAAGTTTCGGCGAAAACGATGCAATTTTTCAGTGTTCATGTCATTGTGAAGGTTATCATACTAGGTAACCGATACATAGTGATGTAACCTCTTGAGCTCAGTCCTGAGTCTTCCGCTGTACCACTGTTATAGGAATAGAATGATAGCTAGGTTATCAGGCGTAAGCGAGTCCAATGACCGAGTTAATAAAAGACCCAGAACTTGAGGTAAGCGGTTGCATCAGTAGTATACCCTTCAATGGTAACGAGTTGTGGTGCTCTCTCAGCTACACTTTATATCGAGACTAGCACGCAAAGGAAGCAGGATCACGCTCACTTAAGCATGCATTCAGAATCGTTCGCAGAGGAGTCAATGGAGCCTATCTCGATGGTGCTCATTGAGAATGGATAACGGGAAAAGAATTACCACGTATAAAGTTACCACAATATCTACTCCTGGTTTAGTACTCAGTAGCATTGGACCAATATCACCGGCACGAGCATAGCACGAGGTGGGAGGTTTCGAACAACTAAACTGTCAAGATTGGGGCGAGCGCGCAACCTACCACGATTTGTCAATAGCGTTTTTAGCTACTGCAATCTTCATCAGCATTCCTTCTTCATTATGATGACCAATCAAATCTTACCACCTCTATCGGGTGTGACTGTAATCGAGTTTGGTGGCCTCGCTCCTGCGCCATTCTGCGGTATGGTCTTGGCCGATTTCGGTGCTACTGTTGTGAGAATTGACAGAATTGGTGATGATCATTATGACGTATTCGATAGAGGAAATAAAATAAATATCAAAATTGACATCAAGTCCGCTTTAGGAGGTAAAATCATCCGAGAATTACTGCGATCAGCGGATGTTCTCATTGATCCTTATCGCCCGGGAGTTTTGGACAACCTTGGTTTCGGCCCAACACAAGTATTGGAGAATATCAACTCAAGAATCATCTACACTCAGCTGACGGGATATGGCCAATCGAAAGATACTCCTGAACGGCAATATGCTGGTCATGATATTAATTATATTGCAGCTAGCGGCGTTTTGGATCTCTTACCAAATCGACTCCCACCAATAAACCTCCTCGCAGACTTCGCAGGAGGCGGTCTCATGTGTGCTTTGGGGGTTTTATTGGCGCTGCGTCGAAGAGATAGAACTGGAACAGGTGAAGTTATTGATTGTAACATGGTTCACGGAGTAGCCTATCTTTCGACTTTCTTGTATGGTATGATTGCGAAAGAAACGCCTGTGTTAAATGAGCGGAAAAACGGCGGAGGAATATTGCGCTTTGAAAGTCATTTTTATAACGTTTATGAGACGCTCGATGGTAGGCATCTCGCGGTGGGAGCGATTGAACGGAAATTCTATCAGAAATTCCTGCAGGGTATGCATGTGGAAGATGACGAGGAATTCATTGTTGGCTATGTTGATTCCAGTCGGTGGCCGGGGCTGATCAAACGGACTCGGAAAATTATTAAAGGAAAGAGTATGGAGGAATGGATGGGCATTTTTGATCTTCGAGAATCGTGTGTTTCTCCTGTGTTAACGATAGATGAGGCTGAAAGAAATCCGAATTTATTTTCCCCAGGAGGAAAGTTGCCAAAACGAGCACCTGTGTTGAAGGGATCGGCTGTGGAAAAGATATCATCACGCACAACGGAGATTATGGACTATCTGAAGTCTGATGTTGTGAAAGGAGCCATTGCAGCGGGAGTGGTTATTGTACCGAAGATTAGGAGTAATATCTGATGATGGAAGATACGAGTGTGATCTCGCATGATTCAGTTGAGATTATATCATTTTCTATAGCTTTTTCTGAGTTTTCAAGTTGTTTTCAATGCATGTTATCGCTCTAGTCCACGACCCTCCCGAACGGGCTTCCGTCACCCACGAAGAAAGCATCTTGTAGAAAGGACGATGCCCTGTTGATTCTTCCTGGGCTAGTAGCACCTAGCGGTCCTCGAAAGGTTCTAAAGATGCACCCGTCGGTATTCTTCTCTTCCAGATTTTTTTATTGTTCAGCACTGCTACTTTCCATGGGTATAACATAGTTGGGGTATCACGATCGTGTAATACGTGGTGCTCTGGTGCGTATCTATGGAAGAGGAAACTATGTCGTGTATCATTCAGTGGTGAGTCTCACTCCGAAGCAAGGAGGAGGTAAAGAGGAGTCGTCATCTTGGTCTAGTAGTAGTATCTTACTACTAGTGTCAGAGCAGGTAAGATCGGCTCGGTCTGTTATTGACGGGACAAGGCTTTCTCAGGAGTGGTCGCAGGTCAGGGAAAAGAGTCGCTTCGTGAAGAATAGAAGAGCAAATCATATGCGAGGCAACGCGAGAAGGGGATTGGCTTGAAGCTCCCTGAGGTAAGACTCAGCAAAGCCGGTATCAATAGGAGTAGCTCTGACTCTTAGAGGAGAGCGAGGGGCTATACTTGGGGGTAAGAGAACAAGTCTCGTCTCAGTCATACTTCGTGGCCCCATTCAATGGGGCACACTGGACAAATGTATGGCTGGCATAGCGGCCCCATTCAATGGGGCATACCGGACAAATGTATGTCTGGCATAGCGGCCCCATTTAATGGGGCACACTGGACAAATGTATGGCTGGCATAGCGGCCCCATTTAATGGGGCACACTGGACAAATGTATGGCTGGCATAGCGGCCCCATTTAATGGGGCACACTGGACAAATGTGTGGCTGGCATAGCGGCCCCATTTAATGGGGCACACTGGACAAATGTGTGGCTGGCATAGCGGCCCCATTTAATGGGGCAAACTGGACAAATGTGTGGCTGGCATAGCGGCCCCATTCAATGGGGCACACTGAACAAATGTATGGCTGGCATAGCGGCCCCATTTAATGGGGCACACTGGACAAATGTATGGCTGGCATAGCGGCCCCATTTGATGGGGCACACTGGACAAATGTGTGGCTGGCATAGCGGCCCCATTTAATGGGTCGCACTGGACAAATGTGTTGCTGGCATAGCGGCCCCATCTAATGGGACACACTGGACAAATGTGTGGCTGGCATAGCGGCCCCATTTAGGGGGGCACACTGGACAAATGCGTGGTTGGCATAGCGGCCCCATTTAGGGGGGCACACTGGACAAATGCGTGGTTGGCATAGCGGCCTCATTCAATGGGGCTCACGGGTAAATGCGTGGCTGGCCTAACGGCCCCATTCAATGGGGATCACGGAACGAATAGGTTTGACATAGCTGCCCTATGCGGCGGACTAAACTATTCAGAATTCCATCCGGCTGACGGGGCCGCTATGCCAGCGGTTCGTGACGGACTGGGATATGACATGCATAAGTAGGGGAATTAGTTAGGTGCATACGTGGAGATTCAGGAACGAGAAGTCCCTTAAGCGATGCGTTTCAGGAATGCAAGTCAATACCGTGATTTAGGATTGTCGTGAATGGGGGTCTCCAATCGTATGAAGTAACCAGCAATAGTAATTGATATATACTACAGCAGTATTACTATTCTACACCAATGGCGCCTATCAGAGATTCTCCGACGGAGAAGCTTCATGCATGTCGTGAGTCACTCGTAAGTCGTACTATGACCAATCAATGGAACCCAAAACATGGATAAATATTCTGTAACCTATTCTTTGTCAAGACTGAAAATCTTCCTGTGATGCACAATAATATTGTGACAATATCGGCTAGGTTTTCAACAACCATTGATTTCGAGCAGGAAGATCCAACAACGGACCAAGCAACGGAACTTATCGATCTGTTGAAAAATTCTTTGAGATAATCCAATGATGAGATAGAACGACAGGGGATAAAGTCTGAAAATGAAGCGAGAGACGTCACGGAAAACGTCAAAGACAAGATTTTTTGGCTCGATGATGTTCGGAGCTCGTAACTTTGGAGGGAGGGATTATTCACCTCGGAAGGAGCGGCTGGAAACTTGTTTAAGAGCCTCTTGAACAGCCTTGAGAGCGTCCACTTCTCCTATATCAGGCAGATTGAACTTATTGGGTATACCAGCTGTCCTAGAATTGATGATAGTGTCCGTTATACTCTGGCCTTTGAGACCCAAAGTAGCCAGTAAAGCCGCGGCACCGGCAACCGTAGGAGTCGACATCGATGTACCACTCATATAACCATATGATTCAAATCGCATCGTCGAGTAGATATCAACACCGGGAGCGGCGATCTTCGTAACCGAGCCAGCATTCGAAAAGTCAGCCATAGAGACGGTCTTGGTTGGGTCAGAGGTACTGGCAGCGACGCAGAGCATAGGTGTGAAGTCTTCCGCGTAGGAGCAAGGATAATATGGCGCATTGTCCAGGCTGGCTCCTGTATTACCGGCAGCGGTAACCGCAACATGCCCAGCAGCAGCAGCGTTCTTGAAACCAGTTCTTTCAACTGAATTTGTGTAAGCACCGACATACGAATGGGAGGACACTGTAGCCCCATTCTCAACTGCGAAGTTGAGGGCCCTCATTTCGTTACTAATAGTGCCATATCCAAAACCATCAAGGAACTTTAATATCATCAGCTTCACATGAGGCACCGACCCATCAATATTCGCCACACCTGCAATGCCGATGCTATTATTGGTCTGAGCGGCCGCGATACCAGCACAATGAGTACCATGGCCATAGTTATCAGTAACATCCGTAGTGTTCGTTACGAAGTTGTAACCGATAGAGTTGTCAGCTGGGTTCCTCCAGAATTGATTGACCAAATCAGGATGGGTCATGTCAACACCGCTGTCACTGATGGCTAGGACGACATCCTTCAGCTCACGTCCAGCCGAGCGAGCTGCTCGCCAGGCCGCACCGATGTGGATGACCTCGAGATTACGCTGGCAGGAAGAGCCGGGGTCGTTGGTGCCGAGAACCGGATTGCCGCCAGTACAAGTAGCAGATCCTTGGGTTGTATGCGACGGGGGGTACGGGATAAGACTTACCTCGGAGTCGGGCTCACACTGAAATTCAATACCTAGCATATCTTCGGCTTTCCTCAAGTAGTTCAGAATTTGACTGTGACCAACTGAGCACTGAGACTCTACAATCTGTATCCCTATCGCCTTCAAGTCATACACCATGCCATCTTTTGCGAAGCATCGCTCACACTCACGGTCGTCTTGACTGAGGGTGTATGTCTCTCCACCGGAACCAGCGATGGCCTGTGCCATCATATTCGGTACATGACGGATGTCGAGTCGGGCCCCACGATAAGATATCGTGACCAGCGTACGGTTGGTGGCAGCTCTACCGGAGGCCATGACGTATACGAGTAGTGTCGATAAGAATGCCGAGCGTACTAACATGATAGTATGAAAGATAACTCCTGACATTCTAGTCTGATCGTACGCTTAGGCACGCACCAACCGTTCGGCCGGAACCTGTAGTTATATCATGCTCGAGCAGGACGGGGAATATTTTCCTGGACTCGTGGTCTGATCAGACGATAACTTGCAACCGTAATTTCGAATTTGCTCGGAGTAGTCATCATATTTGTGATGTTCACATTGTATATTTTCCAGCATTGAACTTAAACACAGTTGGGTGAGTTTTCATGCTCAAATTTCGAAACACGCGATGTAGGAACAGCGATCGCACAACATTAAAAACCATAATCGTTCGTGTGAGACAGGTGTCTTATGTATGCAACGTGTGCTGCATCGGTATACAAGAAGCATTTGCTTGTTTGGATGGAACTACTCTCACCGTCACTGTTATATCATCGACTATGTTGGTACTTTCTTAGCGTGGTTCTGCATTCTATATCGATGTGCGTTGCGCGTTTCTGCGTTCACTTCTCCCCGTTTTCGCGTGCTTTTCGGAATCCAAGAACCGCGCGAGGTTGCAATCACTGCTTGTTCATGCGGAATGAATCTCAGTGATCGAACTCTCCCATGAGTCGGGTGAAACTCACTGATGAAACTCACTGAGCTCCGCTACCCACCGACTGATGAAAGTGTCTAACGGCTGCGACTCCTTCACAAGCTCAGTCACCTGCTTAAGATTCAAACTGAATCATTCAGTCGAATGTGTTTGGCTGAGTCTGAGATACGAAGTTGATGGTAGTGAGGTTCCGAACAGGGTACCCGAAGTCGGCTTTAACCGTAAATGAGTGTGCTCTAGCAATCGATCCCTACTAATTCGATTATCGAAAGGACCTCGAGTTATGGCTTAACGATGCACAGTGCTTTTAATGAAGTCGACGCTGGCCGGCGACACTGGACTGTTAAACGCTGCTACAGCGACCATTAACTCGCCCAATAATTGGGCTCCATAAACAAAACTTTCTGGTATAATTGGGCCCCAATTATACCAGAAAGTTTTGTCATTTAATGGGCTCGATGGTAGCTGATCATCATAATCTAATCTCGTTGACCGAATTGCCGTTATAGACATATCCACGACTGAAGTCACGTATTCGTGGTATTTGCATTATCATCTGAATGTTTGATCGAGATGATAATTTTCACCTAATTGTCTGCGTCCGCTAACTTCTCTCACTCTTCTCTCCAAGTCTTGTTCCGCTGGCCTGATGCCGAACGTCATCAACAATGATGCAGTTTGTTGATAGGTAATGCTAAGAAGAGCCAGGTCCCCGGTTCGATCCCGGCATGTGTCGTTTTAATTCACCTCTCCTTCGGTACGTCTAGTAACCCACCCGTCTCTTTCCATCGCGGAACAGGCGCTCCATTCCTTTCTAGTTGCTGACAGAACGCCATCACAACCTCGTTGAATCTCCACTGGGGAATGCCGTATCTAATGACCAACGAAATCTTCGCTGTGCGCAGAGACGCATCCATGATATCTTCCATGATCAATCTAACTCAGCAAATTGACCTGTCGGGTAGTTCTTCACGGACGTACTATACAATTTATCAGAACTTCTGCAAATGCCGAAGGGCGAAGGGCGAAAACGAATTTCGATCATGCCAACCGAAAAGTTTCGCCGAAAACGATGCAATTTTTCAATGTTCATGTCATTGTGAAGGTTATCATACTAGGTAACCGATACATAGTGATGTAACCTCTTAAGCTCAGTCCTGAGCCTTTCGCTGTACCACTGTTATAGGAATAGAATGATAGCTAGGTTATCAGGCGTAAACGAGTCCAATGACCGAGTTAATAAAAGACCTAGAACTTGAGGTAAGCAATTGCATCAGTAGTATACCCTTCAATGGTAACGAGTTGTCGGTTGGTCAACTGTTGAACTCTAAACTTTCTCTTTCGCCACCACGAGTGTCTTCTCCTGAAACTTGACCGAATGAGTGGGAGGCTACAGATCGACTTGTGCTTTGCGTTCAATCTTTTCAGGGCGGATTCGCTTGGGACACATCATCGAGGCCCGAACGTTGGGTACGGAGGCTGAGCGACTAAGTGAGTTCTTGATGGATTCTTGTGGTTTGTCTGGGAGTGGTTCTTCTGAGGCGCCTCTGAATCGAGAATCTCGACTCGAGATGGAGGATAACTCAATAAGTTTCACTTGGACGTGGCCCTGTTTTGTGATTGTTGGTCGAGCTTAGCGGAGCGGTGCTCGTAGGGATTGTATTGAGCTTTTTTTGCATGCCGACATTCCTTCGTAAGCTCTCTTTTTTCAAGTGCGGCAGGAAAGACAGACCATCGTAGTATACCACCGTGTTTTGCATCGCTCAGCCGGCTGCATATAATTTTGTTATCAGTACGGTGCCGTTGGTGGCGCATGGAGAGGAGGGAGATGGTGCTGATATCGTGATGGACGGTATCGACATCGAATGCGGTATATGCAGAGCTTCGAGGAAGATCCCGGAAGAGGCGAATAATTTTCTCTGTGAAGTCTGCGAGTAGGAGGTTAACCTCGACTGAGTCTCATACCACTCCTTGGGCAGATCAGTCAATCGAGTAATCGTCTATCCATTGGGCGATCGCGGTGTGGATGTCGTTGAAGATCCCTCCTGCACGTTGCCTCGTCAAAGGGGAGCGGTCCACGGCTTTCAACTCTCGGAAGATTCCCAAAAGTAGGAAACGTTGAGAAAATGGAAGATTGCAAGATTTCGATCAGGGCCGCTTTACTACCCTGCAGCATCTGTCTTGATCGTCCTGGAGATTGCGTATTGCTTCCGTGCAATCACGGAGGTTTCTGCCAGGTAGATGCTGTGGTCGCGCATTTGAAATCGATCCTATGATCGATTATGTTTTCAGGTTTGCAGTATTTATGTTGGATGTAATCTTGCTGTTGGAGGTCGCCATTGCCCTAAATGCCGTGAATACATCGATCAAATCATTCGCATTGGAAAGATCCACGAGATGGTGAGGATATCGCGCGCGCCCTGGTGATCGATTTGGACAACTCGTGGTACGATAGACTTGTTCTTAGGAGCTGAAAGGGAATCCTGTCGCCCTACCGATGCCGTTGGCGGATGAGAAGCCTCCGGAGGTAGGACGAGTCAATGAATGAGTATCTTCACGCACGGTGAAGATTTCGCTCGTAGGCAGCAGCTCCGGTGGGTATCGAACGATCAAAGGGAAATAGGAGGCAGGAAGCCCCCAAGAGAGGGACGACTACTACTACGGTCGGTAGCAGTAGCTGCAACAATACTCCCAACCCGTCGGTTGCTGGTGATGATGATGATATCGATGGAGATACGAACAAAGTGACCTCCCATCTTGAATTGGGAATACTGCTTTCCTCAGAGCCCTCGTAACGAGTCAGCTCCGGGTACCCTCCCGGCAGTTTTCGCGGTCGAACTGACGTCACCGCGATTCCGCGATTGTGAAGAACGAGCGGAACCGAAATCGACCCTGCAGTGATTCAGATTTTCTAATTCGAAAGAATCTAACAGGACTAACCGAAAGAGCTATCTTTTATATTTACTCTCATATTTCTCATTGATCAGTAGTTCTTATTTTTACACTGTAGTTTGAGTGGCTGAGGTTAGCGAAAATCTCAGAAGCTTCGTACTGTCGAGTTCGATCTTCCCGTGAGGACTTGTAGCCAGTGTCGTTCAAAATGGGTGGTAAGAGAAAACGGCAAGATACGTCTTCTCCCATCGCGCTCCCGGCAGCTCCTACTACGAGGAAGGTGTCGGTGAAGACGGTGCCTCGTGATGGGGAGATGTTTTATTTGTTCAAGTCGGAGCCGGAGAGTCGTATTGAGAAAGGCGTGGACATGAAGTTCAGCATTGATGATTTGGCCGCTAGTCCGAACGGCACGGCTGAGTGGGATGGGGTGAGGAACTATCAGGCGAGGAATCTGATGAGAGAAATGAAAGTTGGCGACAAGGGCTTCTTCTACCACTCCAATTGCAAACCCCCTGGTATAGTAGGTAGGGGTGGTGTGCTGCTTTATGATTGGTAACTGAGTGGTGATAGGTATTGTGGAGGTGGTCCGAGAGTCCTATCCGGATGATACCCAGTTCGATCCCAAGAACCCGCATTTTGATCCGAGAAGTGGCAAGGAGGAACCCAAATGGGATATGGTTGATATCAAGTAAGTGTATCGCTTACCGCGAACAGCCAAGGGCAGCATCCATTCGACAGTAATTCCCTGTAGCGAGCCGTTGTCGAATCCGGATCCACTAATGCAGTAAAAGGATATATATTCGCCTTCTTAGCTGAGATTAAAGTTTCCTTACTAACTGAGGGAGTTTATATACGACTTCGGTCAGAGGTGTACGAGAATTTCCTCAACATTTTCATGTGGTCACCGACACGTGTAGTTGACCATGTGCATATTTCCTCCCCACACCGCACTAATGGTTGGTATTCTGAATGCAGTAATTGAGATTTGATATATATTCACATCGTTATCTCAGATTCATTCGTAAACTTAGTAGGAAGATCTCACTTGATGAACTGAAGGCCTACCGTGACAAGGAGGTAAGTGAAGAATCGTGAGAAGTTCTGGAGAACTTAGCCGTGTGCTTTCCTCAGCTTTCTTCGATGGGTCTGTTCACCACGGCCAGGTTGTCAGTTCAGCGTGTTACTCCCGCGGAGTGGGACTTCATTCTTTCCCTAGAGGGGGTGTCGGAAGACGATGATGATGCAACTGGCAATAAGGCATGAATTCGATCCTCGATTTTCATCAGTGCATGTGTTTTGTTCTGTGATGAAGTCAGAGATTATTCAATTTTATGACACAATTTTCGGGTCGAAAATTTATCAGACAGCCTGGGTCAGGACTATTCTCCGGGAAAGAACTCTGTGATGGAAAATATCCAGTATTCAGGGAATCAACGAATCTATCACTTCGTTATCAACACAGTCAACATGCAGCAGCAGCAGCTTAGGTTCAAACGAACGTAGATCAAGAACAGTTCTCAACGCCACTTTGCTCACTAACTGATACAGAATGAGACTCTGGCAAAACCGTACACTAAGAACGACCAACAAATCTGACTCTATCAGGATCTGACTATACTCTATAGTGAGCTCACCTAGCGACTAGTTCGGAAAATGCACCCCGGTTCCTCCATTCTCTCGCCTTTTTCTAATTGTTCAACAATGCTTGTGGAAATTTTCGCGGAAAATTTTCATGCCTGTGACCGATTTCCGCTTTTAACCTCATGTGAGACTCAGTTTAAACAATATTAATCTTTAATCGTGATCAATGATCTACAATCTGCTCACAACTCGATTCACCTTTCCCCCCTGCCCAGGTAGAGCGACGTGCTGAGCTAGTAGTCACAATGTCAGCACTGAGCTCATTGCAGTATTGACGAATTGGCGGTGAAATGCGTCGCTGTCCAGGAGAGAGCATTCGAGTATGCGAGCGATAGTGGATTTCGGACGCATGTTCGGGCAAGT